GAACACTCACTTCTTGATCTTCTCCAGGATGTCAGCCATCTTCCCAAAGAGGTTCTGTGTGGAGAAGTGACTGTGGTCAGGACAGACCCTGGGCCGTCGGTCCACACGGCAGGGTCACGGGCACCCCCGGGAGACCACGGCCGGGTGCCACAGCCCATGGCCCTGCCCGCCACTCCGAGCTGAGCGCAGGTGGCGGGTCCGGTGGGATCGTGTGTTAACACGGTCATCGTGATGTAGCGCCCTGTCCTGCGTCCCTCCCAGGAGGGGCGCCGACCCCCAGGCAGCACCCTCAGACCCAACTGGGGGGACGCTCCCCACCCCTTGGCTGTCTAGGTGCGGGTAAGGGATCACAGGCAGGCCAACCACAGATCATCTGAGGATGGGCAGGCCAGGCCTGGAGACTCAGGGTGCTGGGCCCTCCGTGGACTAGGCTGGAGACTCGGGGTGCTGGGCCCTCCATGGACTAGGCTGGAGACTCGGGGTGCTGGGCCCTCCATGGACTAGGCTGGAGACTCGGGGTGCTGGGCCCTCCCTTAACTAGTCCTGGAGACTGGGGGTGCTGGGCCCTCTGTGGACTAGGCCTGGAGACTGGGGGTGCTGGGCCCTCCAAGGACTAGGCCTGGAGACTCAGGGTACTGGACCCTCCTTGGACTAGGCCTGGAGACTGGGGGTGCTGGGCCCTCCATGGACTAGGCCTGGAAACTCAGGGTGCTGGACCCTCCATGGACTAGGCCTGGAGACTCAGGGTGCTGGACCCTCCATGGACTAGGCCTGGAGACTCAGGGTGCTGGGCCCTCCCTTAACTAGTCCTGGAGACTGGGGGTGCTGGGCCCTCCATGGACTAGGCCTGGAGAGTCAGGGTGCTGGGCTCCCCCTGGACTAGGCCTGGAGACTGGGGGTGCTGGGCCCTCTGTGGACTAGGCCTGGAGACTGGGGGTGCTGGGCCCTCTGTGGACTAAGCCTGGAGACTGGGGGTGCTGGGCCCTCTGTGGACTAAGCCTGGAGACTGGGGGTGCTGGGCCCTCCCTGGACGAGGCAGAGCCTGGGGCAGTACCTGGGCCTTCTGGGCGACGTCCAGCACCAGCTGGAACTTCTCGGACACGGTCAGGTCTTCCTTTGGAGGCTCCTTCAGTCAAAGGGGAAAGAGAATGCCCACTGAAATTTAACGTTCAGAAATTACTGCCACAAACAGCACGAGGCCTCCCAGCCCGGGGACCTGGCCCCTCTGCTACCCCACACACCAGAGAGATGGACGCCCCTGGGGGACCTGGGCTGCGGGGCCAGCTCAGGGCGGCTGCTCTGGAGGACACTCCAACCTTG